AATTTTATAATACGAAGTATTTGCCGGACATTATCTCACTCTCATGGCTTCCGTTAAATCGGTGATTCCCAACCAGTGTGCCGTGAGAGATCATTTGGTGTGCCATGGGAATATTAATCAATTTCACTTAATTGGTCTAAAAACTATTATTTATTTATTGCATATAATTTTTCTTTGCTTGTCAAAGCAGGAAAGGCAGAACAATTCTATACTCTTCTGCTAGGTGGCAGCAGATAGCTATGAAAACTAAACAAAAGATAATCAGAGCTGTTGAAGATCTTGTGTGTCTTTCTTCAATTCAAAAGACATTTTAGTCAATTATGAGGTATTTTAAACTAGAAGATTATTATATTTCATTACATACACTTTCTGTGAGGTTTTTGATTGCTGGTGTGTCCTGATGATATAAATGTGCCGAGGCACAAAAACGGTTGGGAAACACTGCATTAAATAACATGGTTTAGTCCACTATGTGCCCCCTATCTTCAACATCTTCTGGTCTGTCATCAAGATTTCCACTCTAAATCCTGTCATCGCATCCTCGTTTCTAATTCCCTGCCCTCCAAAATTTGTTGCCAATCATTTGTTCCCTCTTGTTTTATTAGTTCTTCAAAATTCTACTTTCATCTTCATCTCAGAACCCCATTCAATCAATACATAATATCTCGCCCTCCATCCTTTGCCACCCGCCAGCAAAGGTAAATTAACTTTGTCGCCATCTAGCGGCATTAACTGAAAATGCAATAATGGCACTGCACTGCAAATGAAAACTTTATTTTCCACAAGATTTACGATTTTAGCAATGTTTGGGCCATATCTAATTTATGGAACATATTAACCCGTGTCAGCTTAGCAATGTTTGGGCCATATCTAATTTATAGCTTTTAAGCTATATATCTTATCAAGTGCTAACTTTGTGTTAAACTATTACAAATTTTATTTTTCAACCTTACTTTTCTGGTAGTGGCATGCATTGGCAGCATTTAACGTCACCTCACTCTACCTTCAAGCTCAGGATCCCGTCTGACCTTCCATACGTGTCCAGAACACTAGAAGGCTTCTCGAAGTCTGGCTTTTATTTTGAAATGTGTCTTTTTTTTTTATACCACGTATGACGTGGGATGTTTACAGTGGTACCTAACAAATATGGTAAAGGGAGACAAGTTGACAAATATAATACATCTTTTAAATATATACTGATTGTAACAACCGGTGAGCAAAAATAAAAATTCCAGGAAGACGTTGGTGTCATACAGTGATACATGTCACGAAGGATAAGGGTTTGGGTGCAAACAAAGTAGAGACAATGATTTGTTTAATCATTTACCAGGGGAGAGTCCACAGAACACACCCAATGCATAAATACATACGATGCCTTCTGATGACTACAGAAAGGAGAAACACTAGAAAGTGCTCGACTTTCGACAGTGGAAGTCTATAATGTGGCAACCGAACGGGAGTTGAATCTTGGACAGAGGTAGAGGTTCAAAAACCTTTGTAGACCCCTCCTTTAGGAGCTCCCACTCGAAACATTCAAAGCAATAGCTTCAAAACAGTACAAAAATAAAATTGTCATTCAGTGCAGTTTCTCCAAGCTGTTTACAATTTTAAAAAATGATAAATTCGATAGTAATTTGCTTGGCGGCAGAATTGGCTACAGAATAATTAGATGACAAAGAAGCAGAGGGAAACACATTGAAATATATATTTAAAAAAATAAAACTTAAGCCTTCAAAGTTAATTTAGCACATTTGATGTCCTGCATTCAGTTTGTTGTAATGAATGAAACGGAAAGATTGACATCAGTCTTTACTGTACGTTGTACCAGATCTGGCCCACTGGCCGTAGTTTGCCCATTCATATAATTCATAAACAAAATCTTAATAATAATCTCAATAATACAAAAGCAGCATATATTTTGTGCAGACAACATAATAGTGCATAAATTGGTCCAAAAGAATTGGAGGAAGACACACACACACTTGGAAGAGCTACATATATTTCTGTAAAATAGCTACTTTACCAATTTGGTATTTGAATATTAACAACGGCTTTTAAGGTGCTGAAAAGTGCAAACCTCGGGTCAAAACTAATGGTAAAGGGTTACCTAGGCACTTAGAATTGCATTTCCCCGCTAATACAATATCATATTCTTATCCCGATCATGTAATGGCATAGCTATTTATGATTGATTTTTATTTTGCTGTGTGATGCTTATGTTTGCATTGACAAAAAATAGCTAAAAAGACACCCATTGTTTGTCTTTACACAAAACAAAATCATCAACGTGTACCCACCAAATTTCGCTGGCGGTTGGTTTAAACCAAATGCGGCCAGCCGAGCCATTTTGTGTGGCCCGCGGGATCTTAAAAAGCATTTAATAAAGTCCATGCAGCAGAGTTTATCAACCTATGAAATTAAAAGTTTTTTTTTTATTACACAGCAATGAAAATTATTTGTAGCTTGAATTAAATAATAATCAATTGCAGAAACATGTATTAGTCTGTTATGGAGGAGCTACATCTATACCAGACTCTATTCTGTTGGTATCAAAGTCTGAATGACTTTTATTTTAAAATATTGCCAGATTATCGTCAAATAAATCTTTTTTTTTTTCAATGAAGTAAATTCGAATTTTTTCATTTTTTCACTGTGTCCCACTGCGGGCTGGTACCAAAGGACCTATGGACTGGTACAGTCCGGGGGTTGGGGAGCCCTGATCTATACAGTGTTCCACCCCTGGTTTAAACTGTCTCTTAGTTGGTGTTGCTGTTAAAAACTGCCCGAGGGATTTTTGTCTTTCCCTCTTTGTCAATTGTTACACCGTTGAAAGATGTTTCCTCGACGTCAGTCAAACCGCCGTTACTGAAGACCAGCGAACGAAACGGATTTTTGGAATAAAGGTTCCCAAGTGTTTTATTCTCCTTCTTTAAGTCCTTTGAGGATCTTTGAGATTTAAAAAAAACAAACAAACATATTACCAAGTCACACAGGTAGGTTACCATGCTGCAATAAAAGCATTCAAAATGAATGGGATTTAACCTTACCTGGCTGACAAAAGGAGCAGGACGAGAACAGTGGCCAGCATCACCCCCAATATACTCCCAGCAATCACTAGAGCCAGCTGCCAGTCTGCAAAGAACAGTTTGAATTTAACATCAATGGAAAAAGTACTGCATGAACTCACACGGATTTCTATTATCTGTTGTCTTTGCAGGACTTTGCTGAAAAAGCAAAACACAAATACAAATACAGTGAACCTCGGATGTCGTACGCCTCCCTTTTCGAACAAAATTTTTAACCAAAAATTGCCCCGGTTGTCGTTCTAAAACTCAGTTGCTGTACAAGCCAACAATATCAGGTGGGCAGCAAGTGATCACTGAGTGACTGAGAGTGTGGCGTCAGTCTTGCATCACTGTTGTCTGATTTTGCCGAAACATCAATTTCCCCAGTGTGGCAGCAATAACGTTCAAATGATTAATGTTATTATTATCAAAAGGCAGCAGTTAAAAGACTCCTTTTGTTTCCTCTAAACGTGGTTTAAAATATAGCTAAAATTATACTCACAATCAGTGCAGTTAACGCCAGTGTAACCGAAGGAGCATCTACAAGAGGAAAGAGATTTTAATTAGTACCCTAATGTAGCCTTTGTCAAACATGGATGAACAATGAAAAGGAAAAGGGCAACTGTGAAATATTTAAAACGTGCTCTAGTCTTTGTAAACTTACTTTTCGCATGTGACCTCATCGGATGCAAAATATCCATTTTCACAAGCTGTTAAAGAAATAATAAAAAATATTGTTTTTTCATCTTTAGCAAACCTGTAACATACATATACAGCCTAGTTATTTGGTCTGCACTCACCAATGCACATTCTGTCAGTCTTGTCCGTCTTAATAAAACCTTTTTGACATTTGCAGGTGAAAGTTCCATTTCCGGAGCCACATTCTGTTGTCTTGACATCACATGGGTTTTCGTCACACAACTCCCTTTCTTTTATAGAAAAAGAAACCAAAAATATTTTGGACCACAGTATTGTACGTGTGGAGTCGAAAACAAAAAGCACAAAAATTCCATAACATTGCAATCAAACTGGTCAGACATGTAATTATTGATGAAATTCACGTTTTGCTTTTTTTGCTTTTTTTCACTGTATACCAGGGATGCACCGAAATTAAAATTCTTGGCCGAAAATGGGCAAACCAAGGCCGAAAACTGAAACACCGAAAGAAATCATTTTGCCAATTATTAGTACCATTTATGGCTATGACTGTGAACTAAACCTCAATCAAATCAAGGCACTGCATGAATTATTATATGTTTCAAAAAATAAAACAATTATAAAAATTATGAAAATATTTATTTAGCACATTCCAACAATGGACAATATAAATTTCAACTTGACCCCACCTATGTGTACATTAAATGATAATGCACAGGCCTGCTGACCTGCTGAAAGATTGTAAAATTAAATATGTTCTCTCAGACAAACACAAAGTGCATTTAAGCCAATTGCTGGATCATTTCTCGTGCGCGCTGCTTTATTCCCGCTTCCAAGTAATGATCTTTATAACGCGGATGAAGTACGGTCGTGACGAAGTGCAGAGGATCCAGATAGATCTCAGTGAAACGTGTGCTGACAGACTCTGTGGGTGTATATTATTGTTATGAAATGTGCGAAATAACCCAGCGAGGGACAGTGAGCGAAACAGTGCGACAGAGTGAAAAAAAGAAGCTCGGTTGAGCACTCGTAACTCGACGTTTCCTCGTATCACAAGGAAAATCTTGCAAAGGTTGCTTTCTTGTAACTTGGAAAACTCGAGTTGAAATTTCAGGTAGCTTGTTTTTTGAAGGCACTACACTGTACATTGAAATGCATTCACACCACTGACATGTTGGCACTTTCAGACAAACCCGCTCCGACCGCAGTTTTTGCTTGCGTCATCATAATTTCCTGTTTCGGCCGTTTTGTTTTGGTGATAAAAGTCTTTCGACCCACTGAAAATTTTCAGTGGCCAAATATTCGGTGAATCCCTACTGTATACATTTTTGGATGTAAAGAACATCCAAAAGAAATTGCAAAAATAAAACCCCCTTAACATTTACCCAGAGACACCTTCCTGCTTTTTATTACTTGTCCTTCATCTTATAAACGTTCAACTGTGAAAGCCCAGTAAAAAAGAAGGAGTGCTACGAAACGTACACCCATTGTTCAGTGAACGAGACATACAGTATGTAAGAAATGACTCAATAAAATATAACTTACTTTTGAACGTTGCTTCGGACAAAAAACAGTTTTCGCAGGTAGTGGCCTTTTTAAACGTACTGTCAATATCTTCTGATGTGATAGCCGTGTTAGTATCGTAGAAGATCTGTATAGTTGCATTGATTCCATCCCCTGCCTTAACAGCTAGTGTGGAACCTCCACTTAACTGGCTGTGTGGGCAAAATATATAGTTATTATATATTTTTACTCTTCAGTTATTGATTGATGTATACTGTTACACTGTAAAAAGTATTTTTGACAAGAAGGCTTTCATAACAAGGCTCACCTGATTTTAGTTACTGTAAGGTTAGTAAATCCTTCTGTGGAATTGAAAGTTGGAATCAGCTGTTTTTAAGAAAAGAACAAAAGGTTTAGGTAAATTTAGAGAAAGTCCATTGTTGTCAAACTGCACCATCGAAGCAAGCCTTTACGACAAGCAAACATTGAATATTTTGGATAATCAGTAGTACAATGGTGGCGCTCTGGCCCAGAGGCAATGCCCCAGGTGATCCTGGGCAACATCGAATCCCGGTTAGGGCGGTTGTACCTTCCAGTGGACTCACCACCAACAGGAAGGTGTAAGAGGGTTGGTACCGTGCAGTGTGATTTGGGTGGCGGTCGTGGAGACTGCTGCTCCCGCGACCCGGTAATGGATAAGCGGACAAAATGGATGGATGGATGGGGTAGTACAATTGTTTCCGAATAAACCTTTATAAGCATTGTAAAATTGTGGAGCGCACACATTGCTTACCCCTTCTGTAATATTTTTTGCAGCCTCTTTAAATTCTGGTGAAGTCGGGTTTTCCATGGCCGGTGAATAGTCTACATTACGAATTTCAAGATTTCCAGGGAAAACTAAGGCTGAAATTTAAAAGAAATCGTTAGAAATATTAAAAATATAAATATTGTTGTACCTGATATTTATCAAAACACATGGAGCAGTTAGTGTTGTATAAATGATGGATATGTGAAAAAAATAACTAGTTTTGGAACAATTGGGTTTTTTTTAAACATATCTTTCTCTCAACAAATGAGAACTAAATAGAATGCTTACCACTCTCGCAGCGTTTTCTCTCATAATTGTAGGTATCTCCGGCCAAGCACAAGCAAACAAAGTTTCGTCCACCACGGTCTTCACAGGTGCTCCCTTGACCACAGGGACTGGATTCGCATATACCTTAAAGTTATATAGAAAAGACAAAACATAAAATGTGATTAATAGAATTGTGTGACCAATTGTATCCAGGCATCGTCTGTTCAGAAAAAGATTAAAGCTGAACATGAGGAATAAAGACCTGGTATTGGTGTAGTGGTGACCAGTTGGGTGGTTGTTGGACTAGGTGCCTGTGTTGTAGTTGTGGCAGCTGCTGTTGATGTTTGAAGAGCTGTGGTTGTTGATAATGGAGTTGTTGTTGCAAGGCCATCAGGTGTTGTTGTCATTTGGGTGGGTGTAGACACACCATTAGGAGTTGTAGTTGGAACCCCTGTGCTTGTGCTAGCGCCCACAGTTGTGGTGACACCACTGCTGGTTATGGCAGCTGCTGTTGATGTAGAAACCCCTCCTGTGGTTGTTGATGATGGATTTGTAGGTGTTGAGCTATCAGGTGTTGTCACCTGGGTGGTGGTAGACTCACCATTAGGAGTTGTAGTTGAAATCCCTCCTGTGGGTGGTGATGATGGATTTGTAGGTGGTGAGCTAGCAGGTGTTGTCACCTGGGTGGTGGTAGCCTCACCATTAGGAGTTGTAGTTGGAGGCGTTGAGCTATCAGGTGTTGTTGTCACCTGGGTGGTGGTAGACTCACCACTAGGAGTTGTAGTTGGAGCCTGTGTGCCTGTGCCAGTGCCTACAGTTGTGGTGACACCACTGATGGTTGTGGCAGGCGCTGTTGATGTAGAAATCCCTCCTGTGGGTGTTGATGATGGATTTGTAGGTGTCGAGCTATCAGGTGTTGTCACCTGGGTGGTGGTAGACTCACCACTAGGAGTTGTAGTTGGAGCCTGTGTGCCTGTGCTAGCGCTCACAGTTGTGGTGACACCACTGCTGATTGTGGCAGGGGCTGTTGGTGTAGCAATCTCTTCTGTGGTTGTTGATGATGGATTTGTAGGCGTTGAGCGATCAGGTGTTGTTGTCACCTGGGTGGTGGTAGACTCACCATTAGGAGTTGTAGTTGAAATCCCTCCTGTGGGTGGTGATGATGGATTTGTAGGGGTTGAGCTATCAGGTGTTGTTGTCACCTGGGTGGTGGTAGCCTCACCATTAGGAGTTGTAGTTGAAATCCCTCCTGTGGGTGGTGATGATGGATTTGTAGGTGGTGAGCTAGCAGGTGTTGTCACCTGGGTGGTGGTAGACTCACCACTAGGAGTTGTAGTTGGAGCCTGTGTGCCTGTGCTAGCGCCCGCAGTTGTGGTGACACCACTGCTGGTTACGGCAGCTGCTGTTGATGTAGAAATCTCTCCTGTGGTTGTTGATGATGGATTTGTAGGTGGTGAGCTAGCAGGTGTTGTCACCTGGGTGGTGGTAGACACACCATTAGGAGTTGTAGTTGGAGCCTGTGTGCCTGTGCCAGTGCCCACAGTTCTGGTGACACCACTGGTGGTTATGGCAGGTGCTGTTGTTGTAGAAATCCCTCCTGTGGGTGTTGATGATGGATTTGTAGGTGGTGAGCTAGCAGGTGTTGTCACCTGGGTGGTGGTAGCCTCACCATTAGGAGTTGTAGTTGAAATCCCTCCTGTGGGTGGTGATGATGGATTTGTAGGGGTTGAGCTATCAGGTGTTGTCACCTGGGTGGTGGTAGACTCACCACTAGGAGTTGTAGTTGGAGCCTGTGTGCCTGTGCTAGCGCCCGCAGTTGTGGTGACACCCTTGGTGGTTGTGGCAGGCGCTGTTGATGTAGAAATCCCTCCTGTGGGTGGTGATGATGGATTTGTAGGCGTTGAGCGATCAGGTGTTGTTGTCGCGTGGGTGGTTGTAGACACACCATTAGGAGTTGTCGTTGGAACCTGTGTGCCTGTGCTAGCGCCCGCAGTTGTGGTGACACCACTGGTGGTTATGGCAGGTGCTGTTGATGTAGAAATCCCTCCTGTGGGTGGTGATGATGGATTTGTAGGTGTTGAGCTATCAGGTGTTGTTATCACCTGGGGGGGTGTAGACTCACCATTAGGAGTTGTAGTTGGAACCTGTGTGCCTGTGCTAGCGCCCGCAGTTGTGGTGACACCACTGGTGATTGTGGCAGGTGCTGTTGTTGTAGAAATCCCTCCTGTGGGTGGTGATGATGGATTTGTAGGTGTTGACCTATCAGGTGTTGTTGTCATTTGGGTGGGTGTAGACACACCATTAGGAGTTGTCGTTGGAACCTGTGTGCCTGTGCCAGTGCCCACAGTTCTGGTGACACCACTGGTGATTGTGGCAGGTGCTGTTGTTGTAGAAATCCCTCCTGTGGGTGTTGATGATGGATTTGTAGGTGTTGAGCTATCAGGTGTTGTTGTCACCTGGGTGGTTGTAGACACACCATTAGGAGTTGTAGTTGGAACCTGTGTGCCTGTGCCAGTGCCCACAGTTGTGGTGACACCACTGCTGATTGTGGCAGCTGCTGTTGATGTAGAAATCTCTCCTGTGGTTGTTGATGATGGATTTGTAGGTGTTGAGCTATCAGGTGTTGTTGTCACCTGGGTGGTTGTAGACACACCATTAGGAGTTGTAGTTGAAACCTCTGTGCCTGTGCTAGTGCCCACAGTTGTGGTGACACCACTGGTGATTGTGGCAGCTGCTGTTGATGTAGAAATCTCTCCTGTGGTTGTTGATGATGAGGTTGTAGGTGTTGAGCTATCAGGTGTGGTTGTCACCTTGGTGGTTGTAGACTCATCATTAGGAGTTGTAGTTGGAACCGCTGTGCTTGTGCTAGCTAGCGCTGTTGCGGTGAGGCCATCAGGATCTAAAACCATAACAAATCTCTTTAATAAATATACAGTATGTAGGGTCATTTGCCTTTGTTGAATTTGGGTTATTGAATGCTCTATCTCGCCTTTTCCAACCACCTCACTCGGTGTCACACCAACTCTCTTGTACACCATCAGGATTTCAGTGTTAACTTGTTATAAAGTATACATCTTTGCGCACTCACACACCACCTCTCTACCTATCTACTTCCACTGTGCAGTCGCGTACCCGAACACGCCTCAACGGCTTAGCCGCTTGGTTGGTAACTAATAGGCAACATCTCTCTCTCTTATACGACTACTCACAAACACACCCTCACATACACACTCGTGCAGACACACACACAAACTAAAGTTTATCACTTTATTTGTGCCTTGTGTTGTTGTTGTTGATGACTTTTTATGTATCACCTACAATCATTAACGTGATAGTGCTGTGTTAAATAATTTGATTATTTCTGTAAACTGTGTTCTTACTTTATTCATTGAATCTAGCCTATTTGCAAGAACTCCAAACACCTTCAACCGTTCTGCTTGTTTACAAATGCTAATGATTGTAGTAATATATTTAATACAGTAAGCAAGACGTTATTACTATAATAATAGTAGAACATAACAATTATGACAATTCTAATGAAACATATTCATTTATTGATTTATGAGACCGATCAATAAAATCAAGTGCACCTACATATAATATCATAATTTTTTACCATCATATTTTAAGTGTTCTTTTCATGGTTCTGGGTCTGTGGGATTAACTCCTGGTAGGAATAGGGCTAAACATGTTCATGCATATATATGTACATGCTCTTTTTTGCATCCTTGTGCTGTAGACTCATCAGCTATAACTGACAAGAGTGTCTTAGCCTGCAGTCTCGCTCAACATATTTTGAGGACCAAGCTTTTCGACGTATTTTACTGACGTATTGCCGCCAGTGGCCTTTTTTATGCTAAGAGAGGTCTATTATCCATACATCCATCCATTTTCATCCGCTTATCCGTTACCGGGTCGCGGGGGCAGCAGTCTCTATGACCACCACCCAAATTACACTGCACCGTACCAACTGCCCTAACTGGGATTCGATCTTGTCCAGGAGGTGAACCCTAGGGTCCCACACCAATGACAGAGACATTGCCTCTGGGCCAAAGCGCCACAGGTCTATTATTATTATTATTATTATTATTACTATTATTTTAAAGAACCACAAAGTTAGCAGTATGTTGTTTAATAAAGTACAACTTCCAAAAATAATGTATAAGTTTGTAAAACCTATGTTTAAAAAACTACAAACTAGAAAAAAAAATTACCCAATTTGTAACTATTAAAAAAAAAGTATAACCATATTCATATCACATTAGAATCTCCAAGTTTAAATTGTATTATTAAGCAAAAACCAAATGATGTTCAATTGCACATTCACATGATCTAACTTTTATATGCACAAACTCGTGAATCACCTGACAGCAGGTAAATAAATCAGCAACCAGGGGCTACATAACACAACCTCTGCTTTTAACCCAAAGTGAACAGTGGGCAGTTTTTTAAGCGCCGGGGAGCAGTGTGTGGGGACGGTGCCATGCTCAGAGACGAGGTGGACTCGAACTTGAAGCTTCCAGACCCAAGTCCGGTCCCTTAACCACTAAGCCACCACTGCCCCATATCTACACTGCATTATCCAGAGCATTTCTGATTATTTTGCAGATTCATCTAAAATGAGCATGTGCAAGTTAGGCATTGTGTTAATTGACTAAACCTGGTATATAGTCTTGAGATCCAACTAAGAATTCGCAGCAACTAATCACACAATAAATAATTTACAACAAAAACATGCAGCAGGAAAAAAAAAAGAGATAATCCCTAATTTACCTACTTTCCGTTTAACATCCAAATTATAATAGTCTGAGCAATAACATTTCTATTTTACAGTTATAAGAATATTTAAAAAAAGAATGCATTACATTTACAAAATCAAGCTACTTACCAAGGATGACTATGGCTAGCCAGAGAAAAGCAAGTAGTTTGAATCGTCCAGCCATTGAAATAGTAAACTCACCCAGCCGACAGAGAGAACATTGAAAGTGATGGTGGACACTGGTTTCACTACTGCAAAACAGTAAATGATAAGGCCTTCAGCTTTTTATGACAGTTACGGTTGACCATTGCCACTCCTCTGAAGGTGGGACTGTCTTTTAGTCTGTTTTGCATTTCACTTTTCCTGAATGACCATTGAGTGCTGTGAATCGGACATTCACCTGCTCTACTTCTTTTGTTGTGGTCTGTGAAAAGAACTTCTTTTTGGGCCTCTTTAACTCTGACTCTTCTTGACTTATAGATTTCCTCAGTACAATTAATAGCAGAGAATTTATTACCACCATTGTTATGCATTAATTTCACGACACTAGCACTGAATGTGTAAAATTACATGAACACTCCTTGTAGGTCTTAAATTTATTAATAAAAGATCATCAAGGGAATTGTTTCAATTATTTAAGACGTTGTTATCTATACCAGATGTTTAATTTTGTTTTAATCGTTTAAATATTTTTTTAATGTTATGTGGCTACATATCAAACGTATCCATTATTTTGGTTCGTTAATGCAATGTTCAAACAGAATGTCAAAGTCACAATTAAAATGTGAGTAAGCCCAACACTCACGGAAAAAAGCAAAAGGAGCTAATGCTAACTGTTCACTGATTCGCGTTTAAGTTACATACGAATAGCATAATGTAATGTTAGGTAAATACGAACCCGTGTCGTACTCGTGCACAATTAATTGCAAATGACACGTTAGCATTTAATTGACCGAATAAACGTTACACTTGGAAAACAATGACCTAATTTAATTAATTTACTGTATTTACCTTTACTTTGGCGAATAAAGTCGGATGGTCGGTTGTCATTGTCCACGACTACACCTTAGTCATTTTTTTTCTGTAGACAAAACTGTCCGCCATAATTTAATGCGATTATTCAGGTAGGCGGGGGAGGGGAAGTCTTCTCTTCTTCGGCCATTTTCCCCAACAAAGCAACCGCAAAGCGCGGGTGTTGTGTAACACATTATTTTCTGACGGTTTACTGGAAAGCTTACGAATAATTATAATTAACCGTAGTGTTTGCCACACTCTCTCTCTCTCTCTCTCTATATATATATATATATAGAGAGAGAGAGTAGTGTTTGACTATATATATATATATATAGTCAAACACTACTCTCTCTCTATATATATAGTGTCAAACACTACGGTTATGTATATATGTATATATATATATACACACACACATAATATAATATCCACAAATTGTGACATCTCTAAGATCGTATTTTAGTGAGTTAAATTTCAGGTAAATTATAATGGTATGCTACAAAATTATTTATTAATCCATCTAAAATATGAATGTGTAGATTTGACGGGCCTCTGCGTTGTGGAAAAACCAAATGGAACCATAAAACACACCTATTTGTCACTATCTGTCAAGGTGGTACTGACGTACGTGTGCGTACTAGGCTTGTCTAAACCGATAAGATTTAATGTGACGTTCTTTCATTTGTAGATTACTGGGTGTTAATTTAATTCGTACTTCAGTTTGAAAGAGTAAAATGACTGAATGAATAACAAATCAGGTGGACTTTTGACTGTAAAAATGATGAAGAAATGAGACCAGTCTAAGTTTATAATTCAGAGTTGGGAGAAAGGCTAGATTAGGATGACAGTTCGGTACATTGGTAATATCTTTGTATATCTTTGAGGTAATAAAAGGTAAGCAGATAAACGGCTATGGTCAGACATTAACCTGTTTACAAGTTTTACAAGTCAAGAATCTGATTATGATTGAACCATAAGGACTGGTGTTGGACTTGGACCTTGGATTTAGGAACAGCCCGATGACGGTGAAGTACAACAATTAAACTTCAATAACTCTCTTTAGCAATCCTTGCAACATTATTGATGAATTTGAACTTCTGACGTGAACGTGACGGTTTGAAGCAAGTCTTATAAAAACCTGCTCACTAGTTAAAAATTTTACGGTATATTATTATAGTAATATAAGTAAGCAATATAGTAGTAGTAGTCCTTGTTGCACTGAGTTATATTAACAGTGATAGGGTAGACGTGCTAGGGGAAGTGTACAGTGTTATATACTGCGTTCCCTCTCTATATCACGTTTCTCTTTTCACTCCCTCTGTACATTGTGGATTTTTTTGTTAATCCAATCTCGCGAAATATATCAAATAATAAACTTAAAGACATTATAAAACAATTATAAATGCAAATGTTTTGGCTTAAAAATTGTGGATTCTTGCTTTGAAATTGAGATAAGCGCATTTGTGAAAGATCGCTGTTAGCTTTGTTTACCTAGACGAGATCGTACACAGCATACTATTGGCTAATACAATGCGTACTCGGTGTACGAAAGGCTAATTGAGCATGCTTTTCTGTTCCTCACTCTGATTGGCTCATGCATCGTAGCATCTCTCAGCATATCCCCTTGTTTGTCGGCCACTCTTTTGTTGCCATTCCACAACAGTACTGTGGATATAATTGTGTGGGAAAGGGTAATACAGTCTAGGGAGGGTTGAGAACAGTGTGGGGGAGGTTCGGGAAGGGTAAATATATATGTAAATAATATAATTATATTATAATATATATAATAATATAATAATATAATATAACTATCTCACCTCTACTTCGCAATTTTTCCCATTTCGCGGTGGGTCTTGGAACGCAACTACCGCCATAGGAGAGGATTTGTGACAAATATAGAAACAAGTAAAATGGAATCCTGTGTGTGCTTGGTAAGATTACCTCAGATAGTATATTGAATTTCTCAGTTAGCGCTCAGTGCTTTTGTCACTGTCAATGATTCTGGGTTCAAGGGCAATACATTTTTTATTTGCTTGTGAACTTTAATGGAGTTTCCAAACACGAAATGTTGTTTTCCCTTCTGAATGACATCCTTACATTCCAAATATTGAGTCGTGTATATATAAATGACTCAATAGGGTGGAATTAGAAAACACACTGAGAGCTTTTTTTTTTTTGTTCACAATCTTTTGTTAATAAACCGAATTAACCTGTCTTATCTTGTACCGACATCTTACTTTCGATATGGTGAGATTAAAATGTTACACAATCGTTACCATCATGGTAATACCATGGTCACTGATAGTGACACTGTGCGTGTATTTGCTCAAGCACTTCTCTAAAAAAACAACCTCTCACTGCCAAAACTGATTATCACTGTAGCTTTCCATTCCAGATATTTTTATAACAACAGCTAAGATCAAAGTCCATGATGACTCCTCCATGTGTTACTTCCATTTACCGTTCTTAACTTTACTGCCCGGATCTGAGCGATGACCTTTACTTTTTTATTTAGGCACGTAAAGGCCACGCCTGATTTTTTTCGCTTTATTCGGAAGAGAAAGTTCTACATCTTTTGAAAATCATCACCCGTCTATTTTAGGTCGACTAATTATCTCCTCAGCATAAGCCCAGGTTTGAAAATGCGCTTTAAGGAGGTTGTATTTATTGTAAAAAAAAAAAAATAAATAATAATAAAATGAAAAAAAAAACAACAACCCACAAGTCATGGATGTTTACAAAAATGAAGAAAAATAAAAGAAGTAAATATTGGTGTTCTTAGTAAAAATAATTCAAAATTATTATTAGTAGTAGTTTTGGAGAATAGAGGGACGGTGGCAGTACCGGTTTGCCTGATGGAGTATGAAATAAAATACCATTTTCAGATTTAGTCAAATCAGTAGTTGGTTGCATAAGAGATTGATGTTGTAGAAGAACACTATTGTCAACCTGATGTGTTGACAATAGATTAAGAGCCACATCAGTCACATGCTGTCCAGTAGCTATAGCTCTAGCAGTACAGTCTGCTAAGGCATTGCCCAGGGAGACAAGATTAGTTCTGCGTGCTAAGGCATTGCCCAGGGACACAAGGTCAGTTCTGCCGGTGTGTGCATGGCATAAGTCTTTCAAAAGATGAGCATGTTTTACTGGACTGCCTGATGATGTGGAGAAATCACGAAGATGCCACATAGCTGTGTGTGTGCGGCAAGCATTAAAAACATATTTACTATCAGTGTAAATTGTGACTGGAAAACCGGAAGCATAGTGGAACGCCATGTACATAGCTTTTAGTTCTGCTGCTTGAGCAGAATAAGAAGATGGAAGTGTGTCTGAGAGCAACACTGAAGTAAGAGTTGTCACAGCATATGTAGTACAGGTGACACCAAAAGTGTCTTTCACAGATGAACCATCAGTAAACAACCAAAGTGAATCAGGAACTGGTTGATCTGACAGGTCTGGTCTGGGTGAATAAGTAGTCAAAGAACAGTCTAGAAAGTTATGTGGTTCATCATCTTGTGATGTAGGCAAAAGTGTAGCAGGATTCAAAGTTGTACATCTAATAACAGTCAAATGAGGCTGTGAAAGTAATGTAGTCATGCAGTGTAGATGTCGTGCAGGTGACAGAAAACAAATACGGTTCTGATTCAGCAGTACTGAGACTGCATGTGGGACATGAAGTGTGAGAAGGTGATAAAGTACAAGGTCAGCACAAGCTATC